TAATTGATGGCAAGTCTGTTTAAGTTAAACACACGAAGAGGCCTGATTTCCTTTCCGATTGGAAAACGCTACCTGTTTACCTGGCCTGCTTTCTACTACGTATTACGCAATACCCCCTGTATAATCGAACAAAACAACATTTTCATCAGATTAAAAAGGTGTAAAAGAACAATTTTGACCGCATGATCCAGATCGTAATATTTACCGTTTTTGAGTTATAAATCAAAAACTTTCAAGGGCCCTAGATCCCTAATTAAAGGGGCCAGCCCCTTTTGAATAGTATTATATGAAATCCCTTGCAATTATACACAACTTTTGTTCTACATGTCTTAACAAAATATTTTTAGTTTTTAAGATATAAAAGAAAATATGTCGCATTTTTTGCTGTTTTACGCGTTCTAGATTTTGACCCCTCTCTAGCGCCATTTTTAATGCAAAAATCAAAAAACAAAAACCGATGTGCACAACTTCAATGCTTCCTCTCCTCAATTTCAAAGGGTTTTGTGCTCCAATTATTACCTTTTCTGAGCCTTTGTCTGGAAATCGGAGGTATGAAAAATTTAATCAAAGGGCAATAACTCCTTAATAGAAGGTAATTTCACTAAAAGGATTTTAAAAAGTCTAAAAGCTCTGAAAATTTCAACAAAATCCGTCCAGGAATGAGGAAGATATGAAGCGTCAAAGTTGGCGTCTAGGAAGAAAACAAAAAAAAGAATAATAAGAATAATCTTAATCATCAGAATCAGTAGAAGGTCTTCCGTTGGAAACGGAAGACCTTAATAACATGCAATAGGTATTAAAAATCTAAAATAGGAAAAAACCCAGAAAAAACAGAAGGGGGGGGTGGGGTCGATACTCAATTGCCTGTATAACTAACGGCATGCGTTGTTTTTAGTTACATGTACATATTTTATTTGCTGCTTTGCTTTCCATATTCATTCAGTACAATTAATGTTATATGTATAAATTGAAAGTCTAAGAACAAAATAAAATCAGTCTGTTCATTGCGCCAAACAAAGCCTAAAAACATATTTCGGGGTTGGGGTTGGGGGTGGTAGTAGTCCTTGACTTTTCAAACAAACTTAGATCACAGATCTGCGATTTCAACGGGGATGGGAAGTCTGCCTTTTCCAGAGAGGAATACAAGGTCACTTTTATTTTACAAATTCTGAATCCGAGAATCCGCGCATGAATAAAAAAAAACGGAAACGGAAAGAAATAAACACATAAAGAAAATATATATACATGTATATAAAAAAAACTAAAGGACTGATTGTTGGTTTACGCCTTTTACGTGAATTTTCACTAATATTAGAGGAAATAAGCTGAAAGGGAAAATGTCTAATAGTTATGTAACCCGTCGGTAGAGATCAGAACAGAATACAGAGTTCTTGGGTTTTGATATTTTATATATGGAGTATAAACCAGTCTACATCACCCTATATGCTATAGTATGAATAATACGTGCTGCTACCTTGACGGTGTGCATGGATATATGGGTATAGGCGGACAGGTGTTTAAAACTGGTTTTGTTAGTATTGAATACAACTCACTCTCTCTCTCATACACCTCTTTCTCTCTATCATATACTCAATCATGTGACACCGACAACCAATGACAATGAAGACAGACAAACAATGAAGACACTAAACACAAATAGGTGGATCCAACATCCAACACCTGGCTACAGTTATTTTATTGAATTATTATGATACTGGTCACTTGAAAGCAGATATACGTGAATTTCCCTTTTCTTAAATTCCTCTTTTTTTGTGCTCTGTATACCGGATCGATATTCACGACGCCAAGCATGACGTCGCGATATTTTATGACGTTGTTTTTAAAAATGCTACATTTGTCAATATAAAAGCAATTATCTACAATTAATTTACGAAAAAATGAACCCGAACACATATTAATTTTTTTAGATAGATTTATTTCAAATCAATTCTATTTTTAAATACCAAAGGATAAACAAATTCGTCTGCACGATTTAAAAGTTAATGATATTTTTTAAATCAAAACCTTGCCTGAAAACAAGCCAAAACCGACGTTTTTCCTATATAATTCAATAGAATACCGTTGAAAATGTAACTACAACAATGACATCTTTGGTATTCAATTACACAAAAACGGTACAGACGAATTTTATAAAATTTTCAGAGAATGGAAATCAAAGGTAGAGAAATCATATAGGTAATTTTCATGGTATGTTTTCGAACACTTTTAAAAGCCCTCTAAACCCGCGACCTACGTTAATATAAACTCTAAAAAGTTTAACTTTATAAACCACATAGTTTTGAAATCATTCAGAAAAAAAATGGGGACATGTTGATCTTTGGCAAAACTTTAACATGATTCGTAATTAAGCATACGCCATTTTCAACACCATTATACTCTTCGCATTCGTTACACCTGACTGCTTTATTGAGCGCGACAAAATTGACCGTTTTGCTTCTGCCAGCAAAAAGTTATGAAATTTAATCGACATCAACGTGAAAAAAGTGTGTAGTACATTTAAATAAAAATGCACAGTTTAATTAGTAAAAAGAAAAGCGTAGACAAGAAGGACAATGTAAGACATATATGAGGAGTAACGCCTACCGAGTATTTACGACCGAGTCGTGTTCAGCTTTAAACCCGTTGGGTTATTAAATATCTGGGGTGTTTTTCTTATTATATATTTAATTTGGCTGTCACTTCACTTTCCTCCTTTAAAATTTGAGTCTAAGCTTATAAAGATTTGCTAAAATCACAAATTATTTTATATAAATTTAAGCAATAAGAAGTTAGATTTAGTGCTTATATTTTTGGAATTATGCAAGGGGGGGGGGGGGTCAAGACTGTAGAGGTTCGCGTTCTTGAGTCAGATCCTATCAGTATGTATATCACAGATTGGAAAAACATCAAATATTTACTAAGTACATTATCAGTGTTACTTTTATAATACTTTTACTTTCTATTTTCGCTTCATTAGCGATTTACAATCCCCCACTGAACTCAAAAGATATAAGCAGTGAACCATGATAGAATATATCAGATTCCCTCTTCAAAAGTGGTGATGGGTACAGTAACCCCTTATGACAATGCATATAATCAAGTGCATCTTATTACCGTCTTCCTTGGAAGACGGTATAGTATAGTTGAAGTTTTTTACAGTCTTCGGACTATGCACTTCCTCTATTTTGTGATTGGTAGAAATTGCATGATGAGAAAATTTTCAATTATTTCATTGGTTGAAATGCTGTTCAAGGCAAGGGAGATAATTTTCTGATGATCTATTTTTCGTACGACTTAACAATTTTGCAAGATTTCCAATCTTAAAAAAATGACAAAACGAACAACAAAATCAACAATAATTATTTCCTAATGACATGATATTTTTTATAGCAATAAATAAAAAGGTCTCTTTATTTTCATTATAAATAAAATTTGATAGTTATTGCTTGCAGGATTTACAATTTGTTATTATTCTTTTCCCCTTTATTGTTTGAAGAGTGAATGGGAATCATCCGAGGTTTGCCGAAAGGTCTCGGCTAGTCAAAGTTTACGGAGATGACCGAGCCACAACCGTGGTAGGGCTAATGCCCGTAAAAAGCTAATTTAGAAATACAAAATCAAGAAATTCAAAAGAATTATACTGTTAAGTATAGATTTGTTTACTGTTTTAAATTGTTGCTAAAGACGGCAAGCTTTTTTGAAAAGCTCTACTTGTGGTTAATTTGGTTTTGAGGGTTTTTAGCAATAGATTCACACTCGGAGTTCCTCGGATGACTCGTACCTCGCACATAACCTCGGACGTCAACGGTGATCTACCATCTTACTGTTTCAGTCATGTGATCTTATTTGAATTTCATTCAAATGTCATACATTTGAGATCGGAGTTATTGTGTGGCGCACACAACAGTTTGTTCTAGCTTTCAAAGCCTACGTACATGAGGTTGTAATCAAAACCTGTTTACGATAAAGAATTGCACAAATTAAGAAACATTTTCGAGGAACGTTATGCAGAGCGAACTATGAAATGCGTGATAAGGCAGTTTCCGGCGAAGAAATGTAAGGATTTGATGCGTATTCCTCCACTAATCATATCCGAGGTTTGAATGGAGCGTAGCGGAGTCGGCCGAGGATTGCCGATTGATAGATTCAAGTTATGCTGTTTGAATTTCAGACAAACGTGGATAACTACAATTTCTAATTTTTTAAAATAATTATTTAGATGCTCTTACATGCTGTCGTTTTCACTCATTTTTCAACACATAAGGTGACCTTTGAGTACTAAGATTTTTTTTACCGTCAAATATTACTTTAAAACAGTGTGTACTACTCCCAAAATGATGTCTATCTTTGCTATGTGTCTTAAAGTCAATCATAGAACATCAGTAATTATTTGAATATTTGCAAACAGAGCATTGATTGTTATAAATCACCTGCTCGTGTGTACATAAAACAGACATTGGTTGCCGTAAATTTTACATATTTCAGCGAATATTTCTTTGCGATTCTTAACAAGTTTTACAGCTTGCAGCTTTAATGAAGTTTACATTAACATTACAGTAAACATTAGTTTACTGATTCTTTACCATTCATTTTAAAGGCATTGCCTCTAATAGCCCTTGTTTCCCAGCTTCTCATAATCAAACTATTGAGGAAAAGTGGACATATAAACTGTAATCAATTCATTAAAGATTCAATAATGAAAGAAAGTCAAGCTTAATGTCATAAGGTATCCATGTTATACTAGTATGTCATAGAATTCAGTGCATTATTTATTGAACAGCCCTCATAGAAATGTTTTCTTAGTTATATACACGAAGGTAAGATAACAAAGGAACTGCAACATTCTCAATGTGGGTAAACATGTGTGGGTGGACTTCTTTCGTGATACGAAAGATTTGTATTTAGAATGAAACATATAAGAGTTAAACAAAACAAATTGATGAAAACACTGTCCTAACTACTTGTTCGGTACTTCCTTAAAACTTGTTTTTTATTGTAGAATGGCGAAAGCTGATGATGGTTCAGATTTTCTGGTAGCATCTATACACATCGGCACAACTTATTCTGGCTATGCATTTGGAATGAAACGGGAGTTGACCAAAGACCCTACAAAAGTATATTGCCCTTCATGGCATGTTTTAGATGGGCCTAGTTCTTCCAAGACATCTACGACAATCTTGTTAGATGAAAATAGAAGGTTTGTGTCCTTTGGCTATGAGGCGGAAAAGCAGTATGCAGAATTAGCAGATGAGAATGAACATAAGGATTATTACTATTTCCATAGATTTAAAATGATACTGTATGAGAAGATCAGAACAACGGTGGGTATTACATATGTTTAATCGAGAAAACTTGATTGATATGACATATTTTAATTGCAAATTTAAACGTTCAGGCATTAAAAAATAAATTTGAATCAATCAAGGAAATACGTTACAATACTTTAAATGATATTAATCACCTTTAAAGCTAATAACCTTTAAAACAAGATTGTTCAGTGTACTGCTGTTTCTAATGTACGTGTACACTTAAAGTGATCATGGAGTTTTCATAAGCAGGTTGCTGTACAGCAACCCTGTCTTCAAGGGCTGTCCAAAGGCGTAAACTGGTGTCATTTTAAATGATATTACCCTAAATGTACATATTGTGCATGTGTATACCAAAATATTCATTTGAAGAATAACTGTCTTATTTTTCGATTTCACGATGTGATCAATCGATTGGCTTGCGTTTATGCATAAAATTATCACTCAAGCCAATCTATTGATCATCGTCATGAAATCGAAAAATAAGACAGTTATTCCTTATACTTACATGCTTTGATTCCGCCAATCCACGTGCCCCTAGCCCTGCTTCTGTCTAGCTATTTGTCCCGCCCTGCACGTGATATTTTTAACATTGATGGGGGAAAATAAAGTACATTTTTACTCGGACAAAGACATTGGAAATGTAAATATGAAATCAAAGTCAAAATAGTTTAATTTTGATTGTTTTAACTTATCTATTTGTTTATATCTTTATTTTTTTTTCTAATAAAAAGCCGTCAGCAAAAGATACAAATAGTGCACACGGTCCAAGGACAAACATATAACCATCTTCACAACGTCAAGGGACCTGAGTCAACACGTTGCTGTTGGACCACTGAACAATTTCATACGAATTCCAATTGTCAGGGGTGTTGACTCGGGACCCGAAGATAAGATAAAGTCATGTTTTTGTTATTATGAATTAAAACAAACGCACTATTTTGAGCCAACGAGAGGTGAATTGAAGAGAATGGAGCATATAGTCTAACAATACAGACAACTCCCTGAAGTCTCTCGATATCTCTAAGTTGAAGGATTATTTAAGTCAATTTAAAAAATTCTAATGCTATTTTATATTTAGATCAAAACCTTTCTTTAAGCACGTCAACAAAAATGCATGTTGTATAAATCTTTTGTTATAAGCACTCCTTACCTTAGTACCTTATGCTGTAAACTGTCCGTGATCGGTCGTATCTCCGAGAATTTACTGAATTTGGTGGTTGTATGTTTTATACATAGTATTATTAAACCATGAATGCTTTAAAATTTATTTCAATCCACTCTCATAAAAAAAGAACAGATTACATTTATCAGAAAACAGACTCTGTTAATAGTCTGAAAAACTTACAGTGTTGTGTGTGAGTTTTGAGCAAATAAACGCGCTAAAGGAGTTGCAATTTCCGTTAGTATGTCCCCACCCCGAACGAAATCTTAAGACAAGAAGCCGCGTCCTTATGAAGGCCAGGATTTCCTCCTCTGATATTATTGACTACATCAAAAAATTCAGATATAAGTAATAAGCATTGATTATTCGTCATGGAATATGCCAGCAGAGCAACTACTATTAATAACGCCATATTGGATAAGCCAGGATTTCCTCTTATATTATTGACAACATCAAAACATGCAAATATAACTAATAAACAACATTTGATAAACATGGCATTGTAAATATCAATTTTAGCTCTGCTGGTGCGCAACATTGTATATGCCAGCAGAGCAACTGCTTTTATAACCCCAAATTCACAGAATAAAGGGTTTTTTTTTTGGAAATATGGCACGGGTATACCTTTAGTGGACCATGACAAACTTCTATACATAAACGCAAGAAGTATTAAGATATTTGAAAAATACAGCAAACCCGATAATGTCTCGCAAATTATTAAGAATGTGTTTTTAATATTAAAAAAACCGTTCATATTTCTACTGGACACATTATCTACTGTACTGCATTACTAGTAAAATTTTCTATTGCTGATACTTTTCTTCAAATGTAATTCTAATTTATATGTACAATTTAATATTTTTAAAAAATCTTTCTGTTTACAAGGTTAAGAAAAAGGGACAGGAAACTAAAGTGGAAAAAAATTAGAAGATGAATGAATTAAATCTATGGCATGTCAAACGTTGCAATATTCAATTTTTTTAAAAAAATTGTATTGTATAATTTTTCGTTTGCATTGTATATTTTCAATTTGTATTGTATAATTTTTTATGTGCATTGTAAAAATTTTTCATTCACATTGTAAAAAGTCATTTGTAATGTAATAATTTTTATTTGTATTTTTTATTTTTCATTTGTATTGTATAATTTTTTATTTGTATTGTATATTTGCAATTTGTATTGTATGTTTTTTTTCATTGTAAAATTTTTCATTTATGTTGTAAAAAAAATCAATTGTATTGTATATTTTTTATTTGTATTCTATATTTTCCATTTGTATTGTATAATTTTTTTTATTTATATTGTGTTCAAGAGATTGTTTATTTCTTTCGTTACAAGGAATTTCATCGGTCAATTTTAACCCATATTGTGCATACACCTCTGTCTTGTTTCACAAGATTCTTAGAAAAATTGTAAATTGTTTTAATCATATTTATCCTATGTTTCCCAACATCAGAAAACATTCATTTTAATTTATTACATGTACACCTTAAAAGTATTTTTTAAAATTAAGATTTTAATTTTTACTCCGCAAAATAGTTCCCTTAAAACTTAAAAAAAAAAATTGTCGTTTTGAGGGCTTATAGATTAAAAATAAATGATGAATTATCATCTTCATTGATAATTACAATAATAATTATTACTTAAACTTCAAAATTCCACCGTTTAAAATTTTTACAAGAATCTTGTTAAACGAG